CTCACATCTTTGAGCTTCAGACTGTGTCACTGAGGTCAGTCTATCTGGTTCAGTATCTGAAAGGACGCGTCACCTGCAGAAGGGCCGTTTCTATATAGAGATTTGATACTTTGATGTTCAGGGTCAGTGTTGTCGACTGTTGTCAGCATAAACGGACACCTCCTAAAGACGGGAGCAGTAATATTTGCGTATTTCCCCTCAGACAGTGTGCAGAATAAGAGGCAAGCCAAGAGCTTCCTGTCCTCTCCTTTAGTTTCACGTACTGAGCGGCCTCTGTGGATGTCTCAACTCGTACATTTTTCATTGTCTTGTGTTTCCCGCGTTGTCGCCATGATGTAGTGGAGCAGCGGCTGAGTGCATTCCACGTCCTGCTGCGTCAGTTTGCTTTAGTCGCTCTGCGTTTGAACGAGGTTTTATCTTTCTCACATCCTCGCCCCTCTGCTCTCCTCTGTACTGTGAGGGGGGGGTTCTGACTGCTTTCATTAAGGTCCCCTTTCCACTGACAGGCCAGTGTTGACAGCTGAGGGACACACACTGTTTCTCCCGCTGCATCTGCTCAGATGTTAAGATGCGTTGTTGCGCTTCTTTGCTTCTTCCCCCTACATCCACATCCCGTTCCTTCTCGCTGAATTACATTGATTGTTCTTTATCTAGAGGAAAACAACATACCAGGAGCACTGCACAAAGAACAGTGTGTTTAGAAACATATTTTATTCTCCCGTTCTGTCCTGCATCGTTCTCAGGTGTTTGAAGAGTTCCGTCTTATTGGAAGAATTAAAATAGAATATAAAGTTGGGAACAGTGCAAAAAAGCATATTTCTACATTTAGCAGGAAGTCGTTCAAAGCATTTGTTCTGTATCCCACCGTGTCTTTTTGGTGCGTGTCTCGCTATCTCCCACTATCTCTCCCCCTCCCTCACTCTCTGCCTCTTTGCTGCTCTGCTTGTAACCTGAGCCACTCTGGGGGGCATAGTTTGAACACAACGCATGTTTCGTGCTTTGAAAAAAGAAATTGCGGTGTCAAATTTCAAGTTTCCCGTCAGGAACCACTGAGCTGATCCAACATGATGGACATGGCAAACGTTACATGTTTAGCACCTGTGGTTATCATGTGCTATAATCCATCAAACATTTTTAGGGAGCTTATTTGAAGACAATGCAGCGCTGATCCACAGGCTGGTCCGTGTTGCCTGTTGGAGAATGGTGGTGCTCATTAACACGCGCTGATGTGTCTGTCAGAGACAAAGACTTTCTTTGATCCAGTGAGAAAGATGCTCTTTGCTCAGACAAGGATGGTGTGTGTTTATGGGAGTGATGTGTGTGTGTGTGTGTGTGTGTGTGTGTGTGTGTGTGTGTGTGATAGCTGGTAATTGAAGCTACCTTCTGACCTCATACATTTCAAACCTAATTTCAGCTTTGATGGCTCTACTAAGCCAATGTTGACTAACGGCTCATTGCTGCATTGAGCGCACTGCTCCCCAAAGCCAGCGCATCAATTTTATTACCATTAATACGGTGTTCAAGAGAGTCTCTAGTATGTATTTACTCGTCAGGAGAACATTGCCTCTCTGCTTCCTGCCTCAGACTCCAGTGTTGCAACTTGGATCGCTTCACAGAACAAACAGAAGCTAATGGAAATAAAACAATATTCAAACGTCTTTCGGAGTCGTAGACTCAACCCATTTATGACACATTTTCAATAAAATATTACTGTGTTAAGCAGAAGGAGGGAAGGACCTGCGGTACTTCTCCTTCACGCCGGTGGGGGGGGGGGGGACCCCATTACACTGCTCTCCTTCTTGATGAAGTTTATTCAGGCCCCACTATGAGCTTTCGAGAAGCTGCTGCTCCAGAGGACCACTCCATTAAAGATGGCTGATGCAGTCCTCAGGAGCTCTCCCTGCTCTCTGTCCCTTTTGTCAAGTGTTTTCAGTCTAGTCCAGTTTATTGTTGAAGTGAACACCCAGGTAGTTATACTACTGTACAATCTGATATGGAATATGAAAAATGTGATTCATTATATGTTCTTAACATGAGTCCCAATCAGTCTTCTTCAATGTAGCATGATGTTCAGTCAGTACCGTGTGGTGGAAATGTCCCCCCGTGATCTTGTCCAATCCTAGAGTCTTAGAGAGATGATTTCTTTTGGTTCTATGGAGTCACTTTTAACATTCTGGTCACCTAATAATAACCTACTCCCAGCTGCCCTCGTCTCACATGGTTTCCCCTCCGGCGGTTTGTTCTGCCTCTTTAAACAGGCTGATAAAGTCTCCTATCAGAGCTGGGTCAATGACACGGTCCCTCCTTTTCTCCTGAGGCCAGCTGGCTGCCTTCAGCAGTCCGAACCTCAACCTGCAGCCCTCAGCTCAGCAAACAAGGAGGAACATTGAAAGAGAAAGGGACGAAAGAGCTGGAGACAGATGTTATCAGGGGAGAAGTGTGTCACATTCATATACAGTGTGTGTGTGTGTGTGTGTGTCTGTGAGCGGTTGAGCTGTTATCAAAGCTGCACAGCGGAGCCAGACAGAGAGGGCAGGAATAAATACTGTCGGGAAGAAAAATAACTTACAACTGAAAACAGGTGGAAAATGTATTCAGCTTGGAAGTGATAGTGCCGGCTATTACTGCCATTCTCCTCTCTGAAGGAACAGAGAAATGGTTTTTACAATTACTTCAACTCGGTTACCCTGCGTGGTGCGAAAGCAAATGAAAGTGTGTGTCTGTGTGTTTGTGTGTGTGTGTGTGTACAATTACCTAAAAATCTCCCAGAACTGCTGCTGTCGTTTCACAGTGTTTGATATAATAAGTATTTGTTCTGCGTGTCAAGGTGCACGGCGCCGTCGTCAAAACAGCCGACCACGTGAACAGCGCGTCAGACACAGCGTCTGTCTGTTGACCTCCGCCGAGGCCCGGCAGCGTGTTAGGTGTCGAAGGCGACAGGGGTATCACACACACACACACACACACGCGCGCGCATGCTCTCGTAACGACACACTCGCACTGACACATTGGCGCCGAGCAAAACCGCGCAAGCACCCTAATTAGGGTTTCCCAGCCGAAACAAGTGAGGGAGACGTTAAAAAAGAGGGACAGCGCGCTGTTGGGAGGAACCAGCGAGGCGCTAACGAGGGAGTCGGATCGCAGCACGGGCCCATTTGTTGTTATTAGCAGGTTGCATCCTGGTGAGACTTGGAACAGCAGCTTTAAAGGACACATTTTCACATTCATGCGTTTGCATTTGGGCTGTTTACATTCTTTATTCTTCACCAAATATTTTCCCCATAATGCCTGCACACGGCGTCAGTCTATTCTGCTCTGATTGGTCAGTGCTTTCTGTCTTTGCAGCAACCAGAATCTCAGAGTTTAAGCTGCACTTCTGCCACAATGAAAGTGTGTAGACCTCCAACAGGAATCTCATCCCACAACGCAACAAGGATTAAACAAACTAAATAAGACAACTACCATTAAAGGCAGATGTTTGTCTCACAGTATCTACAGATATGAACACATGTAAATGCTTTTTTCCTGTGTTCACTCTGAATATAACGCAAACTCAAATATCAAGCTTAAATGTTTGCTCAAATATGAGCGGACATAATTGTGAACTGCCTTATACAGAAATACTGATTTGAGAAGCTTGAGTCTGCAAATGTCTGGCATTGTTTTGCTCGAAACATTGATCATCAGAATACCTGCCGATGGATTTTCTGTCCGACACCGGTGCAGACCTGCAGTGAGACCCTGCGTCGTGGTAAATGGATGAGAAGCCTTTTGGAGGTCGGCAGAGGCCGCTGACCCTCCTCGGCACTGATCACACCCGGGTGTGGGTTTGATGCCCCGAAGCCCCCGGCTAAACGCAGCGGTGATTCAGTGACGTCCAACCACCACGCGCCCATTAGTGTTCATTGTGATGTCCTCACACAAAGCTGTGTTAGCAGACGTCCACCTTTGTGCCGTCCTTAGGCAACCTCATTCGCCGAAGCGTATTAAAAGGCGGTTAAATACATACGTGACCTTGACACGCGTTGGGAGGAATAAGTGTGTGCGTGTCAGGCTCTGGTGCTTGTGCTGCCGGCTCAGGGAGGAGGAATAATGGGACCCTTTCACAGGTGGAGGGATCTGGGAATGTAGTTAAGATGGGGAAGACGTCTCGCGGGTCTGAAACATTCCTCTGCTCGCTGTTTGCCTGAATGGGGGAGGACGGTCCATCCTGGTGGGGAAATGAAACACAGCTTTTACACGTACGTAGCGTTAACACAGCGCTCTGTTCAGGGCCGCTGGTGTCGTTTGGGAATGAAAGGAAGCTTCTTTGTGGTCTCCTCCTCCATTAATGTTTGTCTTTCCGCTGAACTCAAAGCGAAGTCCTCTCACAATCTCATCGTTGGTTTCTGCTTGGCCAGTCGCCGTCAACCGGAACAACACCGAAACACCCCTGACAATAAATCCTAACATGGGTTTTATTATTTGGTCTCATGGAGCAACAATTCTTGCTGCCTTTCTGTGAGGGCGAACTAAACAGCCCGACTCCACAGTCAATAAAGCGCCGGTGCTTTCAATTTCCGTAGCAGAAATCACTCTTACACAGCCTCCAGTGAGTGAGTACAGTAAGCAATATTAAGGTCACTGACAGGATTTCTTTTTTTTTATCTTTCTCCTCCTGCTGCTGCGGCACTGAATTATTGGCACGCCCCAATCCCATTTGTCTCGGCCGGATGAATCCAATTCTGCCGCGAGCTACTGGAAACACAGAGCCACATCCCTGATTTCCATTTTTAGGGCAACAAACGCATCAGAGAGCACAGTTTCTTTTTGTTCTGACTTCCCATCGCACACTTGCCTCCCACACGCCTTGTAGCCCAGAGATCTCCGTGAACCCCACGGGGCATCTCAGCGCCCCCATTCTGTTCAGCAAATGCTGTCTTTGCAAATGATGGTACCGCTCCGTCGTGCTCACCGCTCTGTTCGTCTCCCTCTGACTCTTTTCTTCTGTTTCTTTCCAGGCCTGGCGAGCGTGGTCGAAACTCTGCTGCGGTCAAAAATGGCTGCTCCTCCTCTCCCCCCTCGTCCTCCTCTTCCTCGCCATCTCCGTGATTACCGGGACTCTCCCCCTGCACGACGTTGACTGGCGGTCCTCCGCTGTGGAGCCCCCCGCGGAGCGACCTCACATCCACAGCGGGGCCTGGAGGTCTGCTGCTCCAGGAGAGAGGCCTAAACATTCGACGCCACCTCCCGCCGGGGAGGACAAGGAGAACACACAAGAGGACAAAAACAACACGAGAGAGAGGAGAATTAAAGACAAACACAAAAGCATCGCCTCTAGAAAAAAGGAGACGGCGCGCGCCATCCAGCGTCCAACCGGTTATCGGCGTCTCCCAGAGGACACAGTCGACAACACACGGCCAAAGCACAGAATCAAGGAAAGCAACCACAGGGTGCAGACCTACATTCATCTTGGAAGGGGCAAACCCACAGCAGCACACGGCCTGGTGAACGGCAGGCGAGCTGCAGACAGACGGGGCAGAAATGGGGACACGCAAATACACGCCGGCCGCACAAGTAAAAATCTAGCTGAGCATCGGCGTGCTTTGGGAAGACACAGACAAGCCACGACGCACATTGGGAAACCTGACGAAGGGGGTCAGGAGCAGAAGGCTATAAAAAAGCCCTCTTCGGATCTAAAAGAACACCACAATGTCTCAGAGAGCCACCTCAAAGAGAGGAGGGGTCCTGGGTCCTCGGGCCGCAGGAAGGCTTTGTCCAAAGAAGACGGCGGCTGGTGTCGGAGCTTCAGAGACCAGGACTTCCCGGACAGCGACCGCAGGATGATCAGGATCAGTCCGGACCTCCGCCCTGTCCCCTGGTTCAGCCAGGATGACATCCACAAGATGGAGCTCCTAGCTGAGGGCCAGGTGGTCAGCAAGGCCAGGGTTCCCGCACACGGACAGGTGCTCCAAGTGGGGCTGGACGCCCCCCCACACAGGCCGGTATGCGGATTTCTGATTACACAGACGAGAGATGACTTTTAAATGTCAAACTATTTAGATGGATGTTTTTTCTTTTTTAACAATTTGTCTCCAAACCACACGCATTGAACCGCTGTTGATATGCACTCGGTATCATAGAGACCAGACTGGATGTCCTTAAAGGGCAAGTGTGGCAGAAAGAGAATGTAGTACTTTGTGTCCAATGAGTCTGTTTCCTTCATACCTAAATAGGGAGACGGTCACCTTCATGGAATCACGCCAAGTTGGTCCCCCGCAGCAGTCGTCAAGGGCCGAACCCAACACGGCAGTAGAGAGGGCCTCTCATGTTTTAGGTGACCTGAAGGCCACCTTTAGGCCAATGGCGGCCGAACGAGGCGTCACCGCGGTTTCGCTGCTCTCGCAAAACGAAGATATTCTCGTAGCATCAAACATCTTCGCTTCCTACCATTCCCGATCTCAACTTGTTATCACAACGTATCCCGTTTCATGCTGAGCTTAAAGGATACGCCTGCAGATCGTCTGTATTTTTGCTTATCAGCAAGTCCAATAAAAAAAAATGAAAGAAGTAATTTGTGATTGATTAGCCAGTATTATCCAAAGCGTGTTTATAGATATTTCCCCGTGTCAGTGATGCACTGGGGTGACATGTTTTATTGCTGCGTTCAACATGGGTTCTGTAGTTAATTATGAGTCAATCCCACATACACCGTCCTACGGGAAGCAAGTAGCCCGCCAAACAGGGGCGGTGGTGTTAGCGTAGCAGCTATTTGGCTCCCACGCAAGGCCGAGGGCAGACCAGATGTTATTAATTTAATTGCTGCCGGAAGATGAATATTATATGACTGTTTCATCTCAATAAATGCTAATTTAACAAGTATTCATGGCTTTTGTTTGGGGCACTAGATACTGCGGGGATTTTTGGCTTTCATACTGTATAACTTAACTTGTCTATAACAGCAGCCAGCACCTAAGACGGGTTCACCTGAGGCTGCACCCGACCCAAGACGGCCAGAAGGCCACGCGGAGCGCTGCCAGCGGGGACACTGCTGCCTGCTCAAACGCACCGACGACTGGTTCGAGGTGCTGGCCTTCCACCTGGACCGGGTGCTGGGCATCAACAGGAGTCTCCCTGCCGTGGCGAGGACCCTCCGCAGCGACATCCTGCCGTACCGATACACCAGCGGCATTCCCCGCCCGGCCGTGTGGTGGGACCCGGATATTCAGCACCTCGCCGACGGGGACAACGACCAGAACTCGGTGCCGCTCGGCTGGGCCCAGTACCAGACGCTGCTGCGGCTCCGCTGCGGGAGGGAGGCGGACCTGAGGTCAGCGCCCTGCGTGGGAGTTCACCACTCAGAGTGGGGGAGGCTGGCTCTCTTTGACTTCTTATTGCAGGTGAGAGAAGTGCTTTTTGGGATGTCTCCGTGCTGGAGGATGGACTGATTCATCTCTGGATGTTAGAGGTCAGAGTTCACTGCAGCATCACAACATAGCATGGGATGAAATGATGAATGTTGGACCAACCGGCTGAGGCACATCCACGAGTTGTCTGCGTCTTCCTCCAGGAGAGGGCCGTAACCACAAACACACACCAGCAGCACACTGTCAATAAACGAGGGGACGGGCTGTTTGTTGACTCACGTGCACGTGGTTCACGTCTATGCGGTTGGAACTAGACAGTGAAAGAGCACAGATAATTGTGGGGAAGTTGGGAGAGCTTGTGGATCAGTACCGTGGTTACGTGGTGCAGGGAGGTTTGGTGGGCTAAGAACCGACTCGCTGGCCAGACAGGAACCTGCTAACGCTGCTCAGTACCAACAACTCTCCAACCGAGCCAGGAGACCTTTAGGGAACACCAAGACCTGCAAGGTGTGGGTCACGTCACCAAATATGGTTGGCAAGTTAGCACGATCATTGGCTCATGGCTTGTTCCTGGGCACTGATCACCTTAGCTGCGCAGTGTTCTAATCCACTGCACTGAGCGTTTTAATGATGACTGACGAGTTTTCATCTGGATAAAATGTATTATTAGATATTACATTGACACATAGTTGAATAAACCAGCGCCTTGATTTGGTCAAGGATTCGGAAGACTTGATGGAATTTACTCATGTTTGATGTCAGACACACAAATCCGATAGATTTAGGAGGTGGTGAAAGAATTAGCTTTCATTGTAATAGACATAAGATAGCATCTAGTAGTTGTGTCTGACCTTGTGATTCATGGGAGGGTTGTCGGGGTGTAACAACATTGGTTGGAAATAAATCTGTGCGGGTGGAAGTGAGTCCTCCACTGGACAGGAGATGTTCTCACTTGAATGAATTATTCTCAGTTGTGATCTTCTGGTTCCTGTTTAATTCCTCTCCTCTTACTCAGAGTGCAGTCCGAGCACGCAACACGGGTCAATATTCCCGCCTCCACTAGTCTGATGAGACTGATCGATGATCAGTTTTTTTTTACGGTTGCCCTGGTAACTAATAGGTTTAATGTCATTTTGTTGACAAGTTTACTTTACCTGCTTTGTAGACTTAGGGCCTCACAGCCTGCAGTGTAGTCTACCATATACCGTATGTGACATATGCTCATAGAGAGTTACTATGGTTACCGCCAACAGTGTCGCCGGGCCATTTTCTCAGCGCTTGACCTCAGAGCTTTCACAAATATTCAAAAAAGGTATGAAGCTCCACAAAATAAGTAACACAGCAGGTCCAGAGGACTCCTTACATCTGTCATGCAGCTGCAATGGCAGGAGATCAGCGGAGAGGCACCAACACAGACGGGCACAGAGCCGGTCAACCACTGGCACCTTCACAGTTCCGTAGCACAACGAGCAGCGTGTTTTCGCTGGAATTCAAACTCCCGGCATCGGCGTCTGACCGTGGAGGGCTCGCCCCGTCTCCCTACTGGATCAGCCAACTTTCTATCTCCTTTCTCATTTAGTCTTTAAACAAACCCTCAAGGCGTTCACAGAGCGCACATTAACTGCTCTTTGTTTGGTTGCATTTTCCATTTTCTTACTTTATGTTTAGTTACTGCGAGTGCAGACTGAAATAAACTGTATATGTGGATTGCGTCGACTCAGTCGTAAAAGTGAATTGCGTTTCTTTAGATCATATGACCACATATTACACACCGCCCTTTGAATCTGTTAGTGGGTTCTATGTCAGTTTTGTGCCACACTCTTGAGATTCATCATTAACTTTTGTATTTATTTACAGGCATTGAAACAAATGTTTCTTGTTCTCCCATCTGAGACGTTCATACGTTCCTATTCCCCAGATGAATATCCCACATTATCAGAATCAAGCTGTACTTCCTGCCCCCTGCGTTGGAATCTTCATTGACGTGTCACATCGAAGCTGCTGCCATGTTTGACCATGATCACACTTTTTATATGACGTCAGACTGATCTGAGTCTATCACACATATACTGAGTGTGCGTTAGCTGCCAGATAGCAGTCTGCAGAAACTGCATTGAAATCATCACCTAATCTTTAGTTCCCCTTGCCTCGCCGGGGTGTCCTCCACTTCCCGTGTGTGTGTCTGAGTGAAGGTATGTCCTTCACGCTGCTCCTCCAGCTCCTTCGGTGTCTGGTTCCCTGCTATCGGAGCCCAGGGAGGTGTTAAGGGAGCAGGTAGGAACAAGTGTTCAGAGGCCCGCTCATCTGCTCTCAGCAGATCGATAGGAGGCTATTAGAGGTTGGCCCTGTTACAGGGATTGACTTTTAGCAGCGAGGGGGAGAGAGATGCCTCATGGGTTATTCATATTCAACCCCACACACATACGCACGCACACACACACTGCAGACGAGTGTTAGAAACACATTCCATCTTAGTGTGCGAACAGAACACAGCAGGACCAAATGACTCCTGCAGGTTGTAAAATCAGGCACAAGGTGTGGAGTGAGCATGTCGGAGCAAAGTCACTGACGTGAAAATGAGAGTGAAATGTTCAATGGCACCAGTTGCTGCTGGAACAATGAGTCTGACAGAATTACACTTACAGTGTGTGCTCATACATGAGAGCAGGACTCTCTTCCTCCAACTCTGCAAAGTACAGAAGAAGATGCATTCTCTCTAGTCGCCATCAGGGGGCGACTCTTTAGGAGAAAATGATCTACTTCTCTCTGGATTTATTCCCGCTTCTTCAGTACAGCATGATGTTCATTCAGTTAATTGTGTTCCATTATGCTTAAGGGGTGGGGCTACTTTGGGATTGACAGGCCGTTACCAGAGCCGTAAACGGCGTCCTCACGTCACGCTTCCGCAGTCCAAATATGGTCAGTTCCATTTTACTGGGCGCTAAAATCTGAGCTGGCAATGGTAAAATATCAGACTTGATGCTTCAAATCGCCACGGCTACGTCCACCAACATACAGTCTACGGTTGCTATGCAAAGTCCTGAGGATGGAGTCAGCTGATAATATCGCTCTGTTCTCATTTCAGACACAAAGATGTCGTCAAATCCTCCACCTGCTAAATGTTAGCTGATTTATTTTCTGTCACCCAGACAAATCCAGTAACAAGTATAATGATCATTTGGCTTGTTTTGTGAATCAGGCTAAGCTTCATTTTGCCATTCATCAGAGAAAGCAGTGCCAGCACCACATCGCTGGTGCGCTTCTGCCTCCACAGCCATTTTCCAGGAAACAATAATGTTAAACTGCCTTAGAGAGAGAGAGCAAACAGAGAGCACTCTCAGGCTGGACATCTCTCTAACAAGCAGCTCAAAGTGGACTTTTGAATACCAAAAACAGGAAGTCATTACTTGCCTGTTTGGTCGGGCACCACATGTCCATCATGTCTCACGGACAAGTCCCTCTATGAGACTCCATGAACAGCGACCTTTTTAACAGAGGAGGATACGGTGTGTTCTGAACCCGGGGCTTCTGAAAATTTCAAAGTCAAAGCTGTTTGTCGATGCCTCCATCCCGTTCACATAAACAATTCCCCCTTCAGGCTGACGCTGTGCATGAACGACCTCATTTATTCACAGACATCTTCTCTAGAACTTTTTGTGATTTCAGTTCATACTGGTGCATAAACCTCTGCAAAAATAACCCTAACCCTTCCATATATGTGGATTCCTTTTTTACCTGAGCCAGCATAGGTGCTGTTTATGAATAAGTACTACACCGATGATTTTATTCATAACTGCTTCTAAAAAGGTGAAGATCCTTCCCTTCCAATTAATAAAGAGGTGCGTGCGTCCGACATGGCACCACAAGGGTCCAACAAGCGGCCGTGCGCACACACATAACTGGAGTCAGTCTGTGATTTAAACACAAATTCCACATTTACACAGTAAAAACATTTTTTTGCGTCCTGAGCTCCATTAAAGCTACTTAAACGTTTTATTTATATTTATTTTTCAATACTCAAACACCCTTTTCCTCTGGATAGTCAGAGCACTATTTCCAGTGTGCTAAACAGGATTATGGCGGGAAGCTTTGAGTTTAAGCCGCCAGCCAGACGGGCTCTTCTCACGGCATTTTAGGCTTCACGGCGTGCGCGTAAACACACCTGAATATGATCAACGGAAGATCCTTAATCCTCAGTAAACAAACGTAAATATAGGCAACAAACGGTAATAATGGAGCACAGTTGCACCTTGTTGGGAGTGTCCTGCCTGAACTGCTGTTTAACTGCTGATGTAAGCATTCGCCGGTTATATTAAACCACACAAGGCATCTGTGAATGATGGGAAGCAGAGTTCGGCTCTCTGTCTCATTTTATTAGGGGAGACTTGGCCGTTTTGCGTCGTAGTTCCGTTTTGTTCCGCTTGCTGAGCAGCGAGGTGCATCGCCCCAAATGGAACCCGGTAATCTGATTCACCCGGTTCATTGGTCTCTGTTGCACACACGTTGTTATATCAGATTATCTCCTCCTGCTCATTTTTGCAAAGCATAAAAGAATGAAACACTTTTGTAGTCAGAGTGCACAGTTTATGTGGGTCAGATGACACATGCATGTTGATAATGCTGGAATTGTCCTTCAGGTGCAGCACGTCCGTCCCTGTAAGCCTGTACTGTTTGGTTTATAATTAGTTTATTCTTCTCAGGGACATGATTTACAGCTCTCACTCTCTCACCTTCTCCTTTTATCCATCCAACCATCCACGTGTATTTGTGTATTTGTTAAACACAGAAACAACGGCTCTGGCTGCCATGATCGACTCCACACACACACACACACACACACACACACACACACACCCAGACCAAGAGCTGCACAGGATCTTTAATTGAAGGGGCAGCGCTGAATCCATACTCAAAGACACAGAGACGTCAATACACTGATCACACACATCAACACTTTTAATCTGCGGGCGTAGCCCATCAAGTTGAGTCATTATGTAGAAATAAGCCTGGTGGTTTCGGCCTGCTGTGACCGACTGTGGCTTTTATCAGTCACGAGTGATTTATCTGATATAACTGTACTGTCATGACTCAGCCTTGCATTTCCCCCGCACTCTTTCCATCAGTAGTGGTGCAGTTAACTCTTGTAAGGCATTATGAATAAATATATATATTCCTGGATATGGTTAGATGAATATGTTATATGTAACCCACCAGAAACGCACAATGCTACAGAGTTCATGGTTGGATAGGTTTAAGTAAAAAAACAACTGAGATTTAACATCGTGACCTAACATAGCATCATCGCAACATCGCAGTTCAACATTGCGACGTGACATCTTGACATTTTTTTAACTTTTTTACGCCACATAACAAAGGTAAAGTCTGCGTTTACTTTTGATCCTATGAAGAGTCCTATGTTTGTTTGACTCCTCAATCTGTCCTTTAAGATATACAGTATGTGTGTGTACACAGTATATATACATATTTTTAACTGTATTTGTTGGGCATATCCTCACAGGGGCAATGTGTTGGTTAATAGCTAGTGTGAAATTAAATCATTGGATCAATAGAATTATTAATAATCGCTAAGATAATTCCCAAAATAAATAAATAACGGAGCACCACCGTAAAAAGGGACTAATAGACAAACTCTAAATCAAGTCTCATAATTGATATTCACTCACTAATAGCGAGGAATTGAAGGTTTGAGTTCGTACACTGACTGTGTCCATCACTACAGTGAACATATGCAGAGAAATCACAGAAAACTGCTCCTTAAAGTAAAACAGGATTTATTAACTTCCAACAACACTAATCACATCAATACAATTTGAAATCAACAAAAGCTATTATACGATATCCTAATATCTAAACAACAAATTAAAAAACATTCATTCATGCGTGTGGAGGGGGAGGTGTGTGTGTGTCTTAAGGAAGGAAGCTAGCTGGACGCTAAGCTACCGACCACATGGCCATGTTGCTAGCAGGCTGTGTTTGTTCCTCACATAGTTAAACCTCTGTCTTCTCTATATGGGTGGATGGACAGGTGTGTGTGTGTGTGTGTGTGTGTGTGTGTGTGTGTGTGTGTGTGTGTGTGTGTGTGTGTGTGTTGTGTCATCACATCATGCAGTTCTTTAACATACACAATCTCACGTCAAACAATACAGTAAACATGAAAACAAAAATAATGACACATTCCTTGCATGGGGTTTATGCCTTGCAGCAGAAATGCATTCAAAAGTCAGCCTTAGTTTTATGCCATGGCGGGAGCCCGACATGTGTATATACACACATGTAGCCTACGCCTGACAGCCGGAGAGTAGAAAGGAGCCGCTCCTTCCCAAAGTTCAAAGTTCACAGCAATAAAGACTCCAAAAGCAAAAGGCAGCGCGTAGTCCGCTGCCCACGCTGTTTGACTTACAAGCCAACACAGAAAAGTGGAATAAAGAAACAGCACGGGTCACATCCACTTAAATATTGTGTCGACTCAGACCTCAGCAGAGCACCGCAGCTCCGTTTTCCCCGACGCCTGCAGCTCTCTGAGGCCATGTAAGTCAATATTGGCTCGGCCTCCACAAGGCTGCAGGAGCCAACTCCCAATCAGTATTCAAGTGTGGGATGGAAATGTGGCGGCGGGGTGAGAAGTCTCCTAAAAGCACTAGACGGGTGAGAAGAACCAGTGGAGGTGGAGTTTTACTGCGCAGGAAATACACAAACCCCTTCTCTATATCACACACACTCACACACGTCTGACCCGGGGGCTGTGAGACACACACACACTACATGTGCACAGAGCAGACACACAGACACTCACAAAGAGAGACTGCGCAGGAGACCTGGGGGCAGAGGTCATGTTGTGTCTGTCTGCTTCTCGCTGTGTCCGTCTCACGCTATCAACACTTCATTCGCATCTTTCACTGGCTGTGATTCCTTCTTCACATGAACAAAATAGGGCAAAACGTCCTGAACTGCTCTAAATGGGTTATTTGTATCACTGTTTCTCTGTCCGTCGGTTCCATGCGTTTGGTGTCACTCAGTAGGAATATGAGTCGGCGGCGGGTCAGCGTGGGTTTAGTCCGTCTACGTGCCGATAACCACAGGAGATTATCCGCCAGAATCACATATTGTATTCAGTTTGCATCTCTACCAAGAAAAACATGCAATTCATGTTAAATTCTAGTGTTAATTTCTGACATTAGTAACAGTGAATAGAAATACAGATACACCATAAGAGATAAGACGTCTTATGGTGTGATGATCGTGTTCTTTGTCTGTTGGCTTCAGGTAAACGACCGGTTGGACAGGTACTGCTGCGGCTTCACACCCGATCCAGCAGAACTCTGTGTGGAGAACCTGCTCCACGACAAGTGTGGCAACACCAAGGACCTGCTGCTGTTCACATCCTGGTACGGGTCCCACAAGCACACCTTTCACTCTTAAAGGCCTTTCGCGCTCTTTCCTCCCCACAATAATCCAATGCATTATTTCTCAGTCCGAAGGGCGATCTCTCCGCTCTCGATGCTCTCGATGCGTTGGTACAAACTGCTGCTTTCTGTTCATTGCTTGTCCTGCGTGAGCTCTGCAGAGAGCGACATGTTGGTCGCTGCCATTCTTCCATGGCAACGCAGCCGAACGCACACAGCACTAAAAGGTCCCGGCAGGGATGATGAGCGCGTTGTTGCAAACGAGTCTGGCAGATGCTTCCGCGGAGGAGCTTGTTAAAGCGCGTGTGGTTTGCGTTGTTTGCTACCGTATGTAAAAATAGACCATGCCGTTTGTTTGACGCTTTTTTTTGTCGCACAGTGTTTCAAGTCTATTTTGTACATTTCAAAGCACAGGAGAGCAGGCGTGTTCTTGATAATATTAACCAGGTTCCTGTTCTATTCATGTGTCAATAACCTGTGCGTGTTGACAGAGACCTCTCTGCCTCGTGTGAAACGATTTGTTCTTTACCTTCTAAGAGCCCAACAAATGCTGGAGGGATGTTAGAGCATCATTCTTTTAATGTTTCAAAACCAGAAGAAAAAAAGGTAATTAAGGTCATAGCACATTGTTATATACATGTCTCATCTGAAATGTATATGAATATAAAACATTCTGTGCTCCTCAGAGCAGCTAGAGGCCATAATGCCGTCACGTCAGAGCTGCAGGCAGCTCCATTTGTATCGTTGCAAACTCTTGAAAAAGGTACCATGACACATAGATTGCATGGTTTTCCCTTTTTTTTATCATTTATGGCAACTGTTCAAAAGACATTCTTGAGTTCCCTCTTCTTCTGGCCGTGCTTGAATTCAGGGCTTTTGTGCTGAAGGGAAAGACATTTGTCAGACGTGTAATGTGTCTGCCAGTATCCAAGCACCACGTTTTACACTAATGGTTGTATATTTAAGTATGTAAATTACACTTAATAATTATGGTGACATTAACTCATAGCCAAACACAATTAAAATTGTACACACATAGCTTGACAACATTTCTCCAAGTGACAATACAACCCTCAGGGAACAAGGCATTGATAGGCTTTAGAGGGGTCCTTTAATTCTACTGCTGGTGCCGTTAACAAAGCATCTCTAAAGAGGAGGACTTCAGTACATGAGATATAGAGCAGGGCGCCGTAAAGGCTTCTATTGGACGGTTAGTTACGCTAATTCACACTCATACCTCTGTATACGCTGGTCATTCACACAGTTAGTGAGGAACATCTGGTGAATCATTAGTGAAACATTCACATCCAACTCATTTCAGTGACCGTTTCCCAAAACCTCAGCCAAGCCTTTTATGATGTTTAAAAAGTATTGTGCTCCTCTTCCAGACAGAAAGGTGGGCTTTTGGGGGGGCGTTCACCTCTGCAAAGTGCTACCTCAGTGGACTTGTAGAACAAGTGTACAACTAGTGTATAACCAATGTACTACCAGTGTATAAGCAGTGTAAAAACACCCTACATATGTGTGAAATAATGCTCATGAAACCTGACAAACATCAACCCCATGTCGTACTAGAATAATGCAGAAAGTCAGAATATCCAAACAGAACATGGTGTTCACAAGGAAACAACAGGACCGAGAAACAGAAGCGGCTGAATGGAACATTTGTTATATTATTTTCATTATTAGAGGCAACAAGACTCTACTAGTACTTTACTAGGGCTGGCAAGTTAAACGCCGTGAAGCACCAGGCAGCTCGCCACAGTAATCCCATTTCCTGCAGCCGTGCAGGCGTGTTGGTGTGTTCTTTGTAATGTCGGCCAACGCGTCAACGAGTCACAGGACTGTGTTTAGCATTCGATAGCTGCAATTCTCCTCCAAAAGGTAAACTGTCCCCAACCTGCAGTTCCGCCCGTCTTTCCGCTGCTGTTTTGTTTCAGGGTAGATATTCATTCATTGTGATGATGGACTGAAACACAAAGATAAACTTCCAGCCGCAGCTCATCATGTTGAGCCGGTTGAACAATAACTAGGAAGCAGAATATTTTCTTTTGTGCACGCTAATCATTGTTTTATTTCTTCATCACTTAAACCGATTCCAACTATTTTATCTCACCTTTATACTTTCTGTCGATAACTTTTTTATTCTACCAGGTTTATTTCACACGTCAGTGACCAAAAAGTACTGCCTACTAAATAGCTTAAACTCCAGTGCTGTGTGTCACCTGACGGTCTGTGTGTGTGTGTGTGTGTGTGCTCAGGTGAGGAAGGCGGATCCCTCCCGACTGGTGTTCATAGACAACGCCGGCAGGCCGCAGCAGTCCGCCAACAACCTGAACTTCCGCCTGGTCGAGGGGATTGATGAGTGAGTGCACGACGTTGCTTTAAAGCAGGAAAGGTGCAGATTTAAGATAAATATTTTTTGCATCTGCGTGCCGCGGGGAGTCGGGAGCTCTCTTGGGCTCACAGCAGGCACAACGTCTGAAGGCGAGAAAATAAAAGGCATCTAACAACCCGTTTCCCCGGTGAGGCGCTTAGCGCTGAGCAGCGCGGAAAGGTCCTCTGGAAGCTCGTTACAGTTTGTTTCCGTGTCTGTCTGATGAGATTAGTGAGCATTTAATTAGGCCGCTATTCAACATGCTGTGATGGAGTTTCCCCCTTTATCTGTCACGTAGGATTACTGAGCCGCTCCATAAAGTGCTCTTAAATATCTGAAGCCGGAACGGGAGAATAAATGGAACTAGATTATTCATGTCTTGTGTTATTATTGTAAGGTTGAGCAAAATAAAAGGGAATAATGGTTATTTCCTTGACGTGGACGGTGACTCATTTTAAAGTGTACTTTACTTTTGATTTGATGCTGGCAAAAAAGGACGTTTTCATATTACAAAACTGCATCGTCAGTTACATTTTGATTGTAAACATAAATCTCCCAAATGAAGAGTGTGTGTGACAAAATACAAAGTGTTTCATCAGGCTCAGTGAAGGCAGGAGGAAGGAGAAGAGAGTTGGGTTCAGCGTGAGGGTCCAATGAAAGTTATTAGTATGGGAACTTGATTTAGTGGGAGCTGAGTTGACTGGATGAAGTGACAATACTCTTGTATGTTGTATCGAGAGCACAAGGTTTTACACGCGTGTCGTTCTGTCTGTGTTGATCCTACGACCTGTTCCTTCCTCAGGTTTCCACAGAGAGCCGTGTCGGTTCTCCAGTCGGGCTGCCTGGAGAGTCTTCTCCTGCGCTCCCTCTACTCGGACAGGGCGTTCTGGGACAGCCGAGGGGGGGCCGGCGGCCTCGGGCCTCTCGTCCGCACGCTGGAGCACCGAGGGAAGATTCTGCTGCAGCACATCGGAGACATGAAGCTGCAGCTGAAGAGGGACCTGTGAGAGACACGTTGATCCCTCAGCTTAGTGGGTCAGCTGGTCCGGGTTTAAAACAAACAACCCCTTTTATTTAAAGGGGTCACAACAAAGACGACGTCCACAAGGGCAACTGCAGGTTTCAAAGTACTTACGAGTGTTCGGTTTACTAAAAAGGGATCAATTGGAAATTCAAAGCCTCTCCATGATTGACAGATTGCCTCCACGTTGTCCTCAAGATGTGGACAGCTATCAGCTAACGGTGCTCACAGCGCGAACCTGAGGGCTGAACCGGAGCTACGTTTGTTAGCTGCTAGCTTGAGGCTTAGCAAAACCACAACGGTGTCATGAAAACACATATTACACACATACTAATATGAGTCCTTTCACATTGTCTTTTTTTCAGTTGTAAGAATTGTTTTTATCAAGTATTCACTAATCATTTTGATTTGATTTGCATTGATAGCATTGATAGCAGGGAGTAAACCCTCAGTGCCGTTACAAAGAGGTCAACGCTCGCTGGGGACAAACCCCATTATAGTCACGGTTGAGTTTTTAATAAGCGATTCTAATAACCATGAAGGTGAAGCTCTTTGGCCCCTCGGAGATGTCTTCACCATGAGCTAGAGGTAGAGCGAGACGAGGGCATTAATTAGCCATTCATTCGGCCTCTGCCAACAAACTCCTCAGGGAGGAGGCGCCTGTTAGAGCGCGCTAATTGTTTGATCATCAGCAGCACGCAGCGACGTCCCCGGAGCGGCCCGTTGGCGTGGGGACGCTTGTCACTCCAAATACGTTCATGTGCTCCATGCGGCCGTCCGCCGGCGCTCGCTAATCGCTCTCCGAGATGCCCTCACGGGAGGAGCAATGTGAGGCACATGAATCCCCCGCTCCTCCTCGCAGCCAAGTGAGCAGTTTAGTGGAAAGAAGCGGCGTCTATTTCTTTCTATTTGGACATTTTACCGAGAGCAGGCGGCAGATCACGTGACTGATTTGGAGGACTGGTTTGTGAGATAAGCCCCTCTGCTTTTAATCGAAGGATTACAAATGTCTGTCGGCAAATCGTTTTTGCCTTGAGATGAAAATGGACCAAATATAGAAGTATTTATACATATTGCAATAGATGAAAGAAAAGGGATGAAGAATCGAGTGTTTTTACACGTTTCCAAAGTTGGTCTTTTGGTATTTGATTCCTGTTAGACGAGATTCTCGCCGTACCGGCTCTGAATTAAAATTCCACTGGTAACTTCTTGGATTAATGACATTTTCTATGGCTCCCTCTTTCATCACTGAATACTTGTCTCTAATGAGAAATGCCTCAAACGTGTGATCCCGTCTTTATCCCCACTTGATCTCTCTTATATCCAATGTGTTGCTTTTTTTCACCCATAAAACCAGCAGAAAGTGAGCTGATTTTAGATAACATTCATTTCTCTGCTTCTATTCGACCATGTTTTTGGTCCTGTTCATTACAACTCCATCTGTAGTGGACGTGATGACTGCCCTACAACGCCGGCATGAGAGATTTTTTGGACTTTGTTTGTAAATCTAGAAACGAAAGGTCAGAGAGAAAGATTGCAACGTGTATGAGAAGACGACAAATAACAAAGAAACAGATTAATTGGTTTATTTCAAATACGAAGCTGGATCTCAGAAAAAAACATTCACACAAACATGGGTCAAAATAAATGTACAATAAGGTCCTGAATCCTAGTCACCCCCACCGGAAACCCCCCCTCTCACATTTGTTGTTGAAAAAAAACACATTCTTTGCACTTGGTCAATTGTTTGTTCTTTTACTGTGGAATGACGCAGCGATTCGCCGACTAATCGTTGCAGCTCCACGTTATGACGACTAAAGAACCGGGTGGCCTTTGGGTTTGTGACCCTCTCGTCTCCCACTGCAATGTTTGTTTTATGGATAATCATTATTTCATTGATGTCTTTTGGATTTCTCTGAATGTCTGCTTTGTATAGTGTATTGTGCAATAAATCTTCATTGAAGGATGAATATATTGTTTGGGAATATTAACGTCAATGCTACCGGTTACATCCAATGCTATCAATGAAATGGACTCTATGCTGCAGGTTGATGTTATTCACCTTTGGATGTACAAAGTAGAATGCAGTTAAAACGAAAATAAATGGTGTACAACATAACACCCTTAAAAAAGCCTGGTGTAGCGAAATAACATCATGGGCCCCCACACTTAATAATTTAACCTCGGCTGATGTTTCTCTGTATCCACGTTGGTCTGTTCGGTAATGTTCCTGCAGTATCTTCTACACAGACCATTTGCTGTCATCAAATAAGTCCGTTGTTCACTCAGCTGCTAAAAAACAAGTCAAGTTGGCCAGTCACTCCAGTCGGTGTCATTAAGAAGTTTTGTGTCCAAATTAAATGAGAACCCTGAGCCACCAGGGAGGAGGAGGAGGAGGAAGAGGAGGATCAGGGTATTTTAGCATGAGCGTTTTATTTCCATGAAGCCAAGGAGCCCGGAGCAAGATCCATTAGGCGGAGACATGGAGCATAATTCAGAGCAGGAACGATTCAAAACATTTTCCACCTCGGTCTTATGAGTCCTATGCACGACTTTCTACACACATTCAGGTTCAAGTTCACCAAATAGTTCAAATTAGAAAGGATGCATCTGAGGGTTGACGCGGAGAGAGGGACATTGTCTCCTCTGGGAATATACAAACACATCATTGATGCACAGAGAAGGGCATCGCATGCAATGTGGTAAATCCATGGAAGAACTGTTTATGGGAAGCGGCTCCATTTTTATTTAGTGTATTGTACACACTTCTAGCTTACCCAAGAGCGCTCCACTGTCACCATCAATTTAAACTGAAGCATCTCAGAGGAAACACATTAGCCTTCTTCCTGTTTGCACTTGCTTCCATTAGTGATCATACGTCTCCCAAGCATGCTCAAAACACACTTTATTGTGCATGTGTGTGTGTGAGAGAGGGACAGACGCAGCGTTGTGAACATATACCATATATAGTTTATGTTCACAACGCTACGGCATATATATATTTCAATCCGGAGAGACCTGTTGAAATTTAAACACTTCTTTATTTGAACAGGCATAATATTTATAGTGCAATGTTGTTTTGGGCTTGGACTCACCCTGCTGCAGGATAGACCAGGGCCCGGGATGCCCAGCCGAGATGAGTGATATCCCTCCCCTTTGGGAGTCCAGACACTGGTGGTGGTGGTAGAGAATAAGATGCTTCAATCTCCTGATATTCTCCTGATAATAGTCATAAACTCCAACACAAAATGGCCAAGGGGCAAAAACGCATACAGGTACCGGGGGAAAAAAAGGCTGGCAGGAACTAGAGACATCCAGGACGATAGACAATGACGCGACAAGTCACAAGAGACACACACTGCTTAAATACACAGGGAGGTGCAGGTGATTGGACACAGGTAGAAACAATCAGACAATCACAGGGGGACGACAGGACGAGGCAGGAAGTGAAGATACCCAGGGAGACAAGAAGCAGAAAACTACACAATAAGACAGGAAATAAATATGCCAGGTTCTGCTGTAGATTGGAGGCTTCAGGGGTGGTGGCGGGTCGTCTTTGGTGCGTGCTGAAATGACAACTGACAGCAAAAGAGAGGAGAACAGTTTTTAACGTTTGCCTGCACCGATGCAATCTGTTTACGGTAACGGCACCCACGTCTGGTTGGCTGGTACTACCCGACCCCGCCCCTAATCAGCTGGCCGTGCACCCACAAGGAGAGAGGAGGCCACCAGGGAACGGCACAGTCTGTCCAGCCTTCCTGACTGAATTTTCGCCTAAGCTTCATATATATATATGTATATATATACGTATATACTGTATATATATATACAGTAAAGTAGTAATGCATATTTAGTTGTTGTGCATGCTGGGATGCTGAAAATGATTGGATGGCTACAACGTTTGTTACCAGCCGCCACTGATTGAGGCCATAAACTCATGTTTACAGTGTTTACTCAGAGACCAAGTCAAGAGAGAAGTAGAGTCCTTTTCTCCCCCTGATAGTCAGCAGAGAGGACGCACGGCTTCGCTGTGTAGAACCGGAGGTTGCTGCGTTGTGCTGCCACAACACACATTTTTATCTTGAAAGTGCACACGGTGCATGTTTGAATGAAAATATTTTAAATCCATAATGTGCCACTACAATTGCCAGGCTCCATCAGCCCGCTATCATCAGGGCACGAGAAAATGGGACTTTTTAAATCTAATGTAAAAATGCGTTGGTTCTTGTACTCGCTTGTCTACACTATGACACTATTAGCACAATCATGTGAAAGATGAAGTTGACTCTCCCTGATTGAAAATTATTTACACATTTTCAGCTGATAATGATATTTTCAAAGCGGGTGACAGAGGGCCACCGATAATAAGCTGCTCTCCATATTAGGGAAGTGGATGCAAGACAGGTCAACGCCTCGAGCCTGTCCTGCTCTTTCTTCTGATTCCTGCTCCCCTTTTCTTCTCTTGTCTGTTTCCCTTTCAGACGCTCTGAGCTCAACATTCGGAGCGCTGAGTCCTGAATTTGAATACGACGGCTCTTCTGTGATGTGACACTTGCTAACAAGTTTTGTTAAACAGGCTTGAACAGGATCTCTCCTCATCCGGTTACCGTAGCAATGGTGACGCCCTGTTGCCACGATTTTTTTTGGCGTTCAGGATACAAAGGAAACGTTGATTTGTGTTTACGTGCACATTTAAATAATTATCGCTTGCAGGATTACTAGTAAACAGGTTACTCTGTACAATGAATTTGGTAAAACAAAACATGCCCCAGGAGACGGCTGTTCGTGTCCTATGTGAAACTAAAAGTACACATTGAGTTTACACTTGTTACATAATGTCATGAAAGCTGCTCAGGGTGGCTGGTTTTTATTTGCAGGCTTGTGCCGACAAAACAATATATCAGATCATGTCATTCAATGATTCTTTGTAAAACCAATCATGAACCTTTTTCAAACCGTTACCAAGTAATGTTGTTGCCTAACCCTCATCAATCGCTTCACATTGTGATCTTTTTAAGCAGGATACACATTTATATGAAACGTATTCATGGAACATTTCTTCCACTGGTCTGCAAAGACAAAACCAGGCCAACATTCTCTTCGTCCAGAGATGTCGACACATGTTTTGCTTGAATCAACTGACACAATTTCATCTTCAAAACCTGGTGCTCTCTCAGTGGTGGCCTTCCATGATGTTAGCATGATGACATTAGCAATGACATTAGCTGTAAACCATGTTTCTCAAACTCTTTTGCTGGCAACGCACTCAGAAAATGACAAACCATGGTAATGAAATTCACAACAGGCGCTGTGAAGCGAAATAGGCTCATATTGATTGAACAGGTCGTGATCTATAAGGGGAAGATTGTTCGTGATCACATTTGTGGGCACTCGCAGGACTCAGGACTGCTTGTCGCTGCCATGTATTTCTGTCAGCATCATACACTGCATGAGAAGGTATTTCTGCAGAGTAGCCAGCTCCTTCTTCCACGTCTTATGAATGTTTTGAGTCTCCGTATACAATCATAAGTATGTAAGCCTGTGAAAATCAACAAAAAGATGGAAAAATGAAGACACAATCCTGTTTGTATGACAAACTGTCACATTAAAAGCAACAAGCAAGTCTCAAAAGCCACTGTTTCTGCAGTAAACTCTGAAAGTCTCAGTCGCTGTTATTGAAAGCTGGACGAATCCAGGAGAAATGGCAGACTGTTTATATCCATGTGGAAAATCAAAACAAAATACTTTTAGAGAAAGCCAAAAGGTGAGACTGTGCACCTGATGTGAATTAGTGTGAGTGCGGTTTTATTTCACTGAACAATAACACAATCTACGTTGCATTAAATTACTTAACATTATGTCCAGCCTCCAAAAGAAGCAAAACCAATTCAATATACTACTAAAGAGAACTCCATGTGCGATTTGAAAACTAGAGTAATAACTTTTTGTTCCTCGTGTTTCGATCAGAAAACTATACCAACACTTTTGATACAATCAGTGTTTGATGGCAGTATGTACCGAGCACGGCCACGGATTAGTCAGCCTCCACCCACGAGGCTCCAGGAACCGTGTGCACCACATTAGCAGCTACAGCTATAAAAGAATTTGTGGTTCAAAAAACGTTTTTTTTTAAAAACAATACGTCATGCCTTATTCTTTCATGCAGCCTGCATTCACTCAGAAACAGCTGGATTTCGACTCCAACATTAATTCCTTCGCTTTCTCTGTAGCGCTCTGACAGATGGTGTCAGATGGTGTCGGATGGTGTCAGGTGAGCGATGTGACGGGGGAGGACACATCAGACCGCAGACAGCCTGGACCCCGGAGATGAAGCGGCTGCTAATTGCCGTTTGCGTGTCGCAGTGTTTGTCAGCACTAGTCTGCAGTCTGCAGTCATGTGGTGTTATTTATAAATACATATAAGACCCGAGACTTGACTGGGACTCCAGGTTAAAGACCCGAGACTTGACTGGGACTCCAAGTTAAAAACCTGAGACTTGACTGGGACTCCAAGTTAAAGACCTGGGACTTGACTGGGACTCCAAGTTAAAGACCTGGGACTTGACTGGGACTCCAAGTTAAAGACCTGGGACTTGACTGGGACTCCAAGTTAAAGACCTGGGACTTGACTGGGACTCCAAGTTAAAGACCTGAGACTTGACTGGGACTCCAAGTTAAAGACCTGAGACTTGACTGGGACTCCAAGTTAAAGACCTGGGACTTGACTGGGACTCCAAGTTAAAGACCCGAGACTTGACTGGGACTCCGGGTTAAAGACCCGAGACTTGACTGGGACTCCGGGTTAAAGACCCGAGACTTGACTGGGACTCCAAGTTAAAGACCTGAGACTTGACTGGGACTCCAGGTTAAAAACCCGAGACTTGACTGGGACTCCGGGTTAAAGACCCGAGACTTGACTGGGACTCCGGGTTAAAGACCTGAGACTTGACTGGGACTCCAGGTTAAAGACCCGAGACTTGACTGGGACTACAGGTTAAAGACTTGAGACTTGACTGGGACTACAGGTTAAAGACCTGAGACTTGACTGGGACTCCAAGTTAAAGACCTGGGACTTGACTGGGACTCCAAGTTAAAGACTTGAGACTTGACTGGGACTCC